ATAACAGCCAAACTCCAGTTTACAAATCTCACTTGGATTGGGAACATCGAGGAGATTTAACTCAAAATCTCTTGGGTTTGCAGGAAGTGAAAGGACACCACATTTTTAGGTTCACTCACATTTACCTTGAATTCCGAGCAAGACAAAGCAGGTTTAGCAAAGGATAAGAATTTCTTTCTTTCAAAGGAATTGGGACCAAATGGAAAATTTTAAGAACCCCCTGAAACAGTCAGATGTGTCATTGGGATGTTGCTGCCATTTCCTGTGTGTCTTTGCTGTTGCTGCCTGTGGGGTTTTGTTTTGGCTCAGTGCAAGGTCCAGCAGGGCCCTGTGTTGCTGCAGAGCTTCTGGGAACGTGTCTCCACTTCTGCTTTCATTTCTTGTTCTAATTTAAGTTGTCTCACTGCTTTGGCATCTTGCTTAGGTACCTCAGTCCAAATAAACTGCTCTGAAATTCAGCCAAAAGACCTTTCTTCTATATGTGGACAATTCTGGAGTACTTAAGGGTTTTTTATCCCCCCATCCAAGCTTATCATCCTTCAAGAAGTAAATTTGAATTGTGATTACAAATCAAGTTGAAGACATCCCTGCTCATTGCAGGAGGGTTGGACTAGATGACCTTTAAAGGTCTCTTCCAAAACAAACCATTCTAAGATCTCTGTAATGCTTCCAAATCTCACTTTTCCTGTGGTAGAGCTTTCATTCTTTTGGATGAAAAAAAATTTTGAGAAATTTTGCATCTTGCACTTTCCCCCCACCAATACCTGGATGCATAAATCTGTGTCTTGTGTACCACCACCTCCTGCACTTGCACACGAGGTTCTTTGAGAGGGTCCCACATAGATAATTAAGTGACAATAATTACGTTTCTCTCCCATCAACAATAGTGGGAAGAGAAAAATATGGTGAGCATGGAAAAGGAAGATGATAAAAGGAGAGGGTTAAATGTTATGTAGATTCTGCAAGGAACTGACATGTGAAATGGTGCAATGATAACCAAGACAAGACATTGAGCTTCCAGCTGGGTATTCCTCCTGTGTGTAGCTGGCACAGATGTGTTGATCTGGTGTCAGTTTTGATGTCACCAAGGTGTTATTGTGGGTACCAGCAGCACGAGGCTGTTGGCTGCTACAGGAGAAACATCCAGAGAGCTCTTGTGCCCATAGATTCAGATTATACAGTGAAGTGTGTTTAGATTGGCAGCCTCTTCATCAGATTTTATAAATTTATCTATACCAGGAATTACTGCCCTGCACAGTGTGTGTTGGGAGGTGCCAGTGGATGGATAAATCCAGGCTGTACTGAGAGCAGAACCCTGAGGATTGGGAAAGGGGAGAAAGTTTCCCTGTTTCTGTAGTCCCTTGCCAGATTAGGGGATGTTATAATAAACTCAGTGAACTTTGCTTCCAGAATTGCCCCTTTAGCAGCCTCAATGCTGACACTGATCCCTGTTTTTTCCAAATCATTCGGTATTTGGCAAACTCTGCACATGATTTCAGGCTTTAGCTGTCACAGATTATTTATGCCGGGTTCGGATGCTTCCAGTGGACAGTTTGTTTTGGATTTTTGCCACGTGCTGCTAACGTCCCTGAAAATGAACATAGTGAGGCTGGTCTTTCTGAATGTGTATTAAACTGTGATTATATAGCAGAAGATCACATGGAATGTAAAAATCAAGCAGTATTTCATGTTTAGTGTCTGTACAAAGCCTAATTGGTGATCAACGTTTTAGTATTTTTCTGTCAACCTGTTAATAATCAGATGATTATTGTCAGTTTTATCAGGACCCTCTGAACCTTCCCTTGGAAATAGTAATTGATTTTGTTAAGTAGGAGAACCCAAGTAATATAATTAACTTGTCACCATGTTTGGAGATTGTGTTTTTTTATGTTGGAAATAAAATTGTTAGTGTAGTAAAATTGAGCAAAGTCAGCATTCAGGTTTAATTTGAGAAGAATCTTCATTCAAACACAGAAAATGTAACAGGATATAGAAAATATGGTCAGAGGACTGGAGGCCCTCTGCTCTGGAGCCAGGCTGGGAGAGCTGGGGGTGTTCACCTGGAGAAGAGAAGGCTCCAGGGAAACCTCAGAGCCCCTGCCAGGGCCTAAAGGGGCTCCAGGAGAGCTGGAGAGGGACTGGGGACAAGGGATGGAGGGACAGGACACAAGGAATAGCTTCCACTGCCAGAGGGCAGGGTTAGATGGGATATTGGGAATGAATTCCTCCCAGTGAGGGTGGGCAGGCCCTGGCACAGGGTGCCCAGAGCAGCTGTGGCTGCCCCTGGATCCCTGGAAGTGTCCAAGGCCAGGCTGGATGGGCCTTGGAGCACCCTGGGCTGGTGGAAAGTTTTCTAGCCCGTGGTGGAATGAGATGAGCTCTAAAACCTCTTCCAACTCACACCATTCCATGATTCTGTGTTGACTTAAAATGCCATAAATGTTTCCTTTCATAGGCAGGCAGAGTCCATGAATTTTTGACCAGAGTGTTCCCAGGAGTTTGCAATAGGCAAAATGTATAAATGACTGAAGTGTAGCATCATTTTTATATGTTTACCTGTAAATGTAAGCATGTAGTAACTCGAAAGGCCTTTCATTAAAATAGTGCATAGAGCAAGTATTAATGGGTGGCAAAATACAAACCTTGTGTCGTTCTTTTCACGTTCCAATTTAATTTTATATGTCTAAATGCAAAAATAGTAATTTTTCAAGTCATATAATAGCTAATATAACAGCCTGCTGGAATGGTGGTTGTTGGGAGAACCTTTCTCCCTGACATATGCCAATTACCTTAGGATGGTTATTTCATTGCATTATTTTCTCCAAAATGCTTTGGAAAAGCTGCCTGCATGCACAGGCTGTGTTGGATGCTGAGCCAGGGCCAGGCTCATGTGCAGCAGGGCATGGGAGACCACAACCAATTAACTTCATTAACATTGCTTTGACCTCCCTCAACACTCTGAGCCATGTTTGGGATTGTTACCAGTAAGCCCCGTGGAACCCCTGGGATTTACAAAGCTTGATTTACCACCCCTTTGCTTTCTGATCTTGGAAGCTTCTGGTCTTTGAGTGGTTTTGTGAGGAGCACTTGGCTTTTCTACATCCCCAGAGTTGATGAGGCTTTTAGCATCTCCATAGGGTTCACACTTGGCTTGCAACCCTGATGGATTCAAATTGTTTGGATGCAGAAGGCACAGATGTTTGTTGTTACCAATTCCATGCAGAATAAACATCTCTAGAGATATTTGAGTGGGTGGGGTGGAGTGGCCTAGTGCTTTATGGTGGATTTATTGAGTGTGGTGGAGGGAGGAGGCAAAGTCAGTTTGCTCAAGGTAACCAACTTAAAGTCCTGTTTGCACTTCTCACGTGAGTCAGCAGTCTTGGATATGCTCTGATAACCTCAATAAAAATAGCCAGCCCTCTTGGCCTGAGCTTTGAAGTAAAATGTGGATGAGGAATTATCGAGCTGAAGTATAGTGGGCAGTTTGCTCCCCCCTTCTTGATGAAAGGCTGATGCTGGAGTTGCAGAGCTACACAAAGCAAGCCCAACCCAGCACTTCCCTGACATCATCCCTGTTGCATCTGTGCCTGTAGTAAAGCCATAGGAAAGCAGCTGGAGCACTTCCCAGTGTATAATGTATGTCCTGCTACCAAGCAATGCACCGTGAATCCCTGCCAGATGTATTTCACTGGGACATATTAATTTCTGTGCTTTGAAGTGCACGTGGCTGGGGATAATACACTTAATGAAATATTGGAGTGAGAAACAATACAGCATAAAATAGTGCTGTTCATTTGAGGGCCTCAGAAATGAAATAATTCTCCAAATCCCAGCCTTGGAGTGGATGAAGAAGATGAGGGTGGCTGTACTTGGACTGAAGGGCCTGGATCTGGAAACCTGGGAGAGACTGCAGGAACAGGGTGACCAGTGAAATGCTTTCCCTGAATACTCTTCCCAGCCTCAAATATCTGAAGTTCTCTGAACCTATTGTGGGTTTTGACTTCATGTTTTTTGACCCTTCTTGAGCATTTTGTTGGTGCCATGAGGGAACTGTCATAGTTGTGAGGTCCTGCTCCAGTGGGGCAGTGCTCAACAAAAAGCTCAGTGTTACAAATAATGTTAGGATATGCATCATGTAAAGCTTAATAAATTGTATAAAGTACAAAGTATCACTGTATAAAGTGTCACTGCCACCTGGTTGCCCAAATCCTAGTTCTGAGGGTCCTGCTTTTCTCCCTTGATCGCTTTTGTCTTTCTATTGGATTAACTCTTAACATCTTCAAGGGCAGTTTGGAGTTTGTTAGAACTGGTGGAGAACCGAGGACCTATAACTCTGTATTTGCTTTTATTTGGGGCTGCTGGTGGTGTGTTATATTCTTGTAGTGGTGAAGTTTGAGAAATGAGCTGCACATTTGATGTTTTAGTGCCAGAGATATGGGTTTGTTTGGTTTTATGCAGTACAAGAAAAATAAAAAGTGCAATGTACGAAGGAATTGGTTGCAATAATGCGTATCCATGTCTGAACATCTCTGAAAAGGAGTGACTTGGTAGGGGAAAAAGTGCTGCTGATTAAATCATCATGGGTTCAAAATCTCCTGGACAGGAAGGAAAGGAGTTTATCTCCTCTTCACTGGCACAAGACCATGAAAAAATGTATCTGTGGCAAGGGCCAGGTGTGCCGGGGAAGGTGACGGTCATTTTGTTTTAGCAGCTAACATTTGTGGCTGCTGAGTACCACACACCCATGAGATTGATTCAGGTGGTTGTCTGGTGTGTTGCTCACAAAATTTTCACTGAAAATCAGAGGCTGTTTCTGATACCTCAGATTGGGGGCAAAGTTAGCAAAAGCTTGAGGTGCTGTGCGAGTTAGATCTGAGTGGGGGGAGCCTGTGTTGTGTGTGTAGTGTTTGGGTGTTGAATACCTTTATCTGCTACAGCTTTGGGGTATTTGTAGGATAACCCTTAACCTGGTTTTATTTCGTTTTTTCTTTTTTTTTCAGCCTTGCTAACGTGATGACCTGACAAGATAGAGCACAGTCCTGACTATGCAGCACAGGGACTGATGGGAAAGGATCCAATATGAGTGTAAATGATGTTGGAGGCAGACGACGCTTTGAGGATAGCGAGTACACGCTGCACATCTACCCTGGGAGCATTGCAGAGGGGACAATCTACTGCCCCATCACTGCCAGGAAAACGTCCACGGCTGCCGAGGTGATCGACTCGCTCATCGACAAACTGCAGCTCGAGAAAACAAAATGTTACGTGCTGGCCGAAGTGAAGGAGTTCGGAGGGGAGGAGTGGATCCTCAACCCCACGGACTGCCCCGTGCAGCGCATGATGCTGTGGCCGCGCATGGCGCTGGAGAAGCGTGCCAGCGGCGACGACTATCGCTTCCTGCTGCGCGAGAAGAACCTGGACGGCTCCATCCACTACGGCAGCCTCCAGTCCTGGCTGCGCGTCACAGAGGAGCGGCGCAGGATGGTGGAGCGCGGCTTCCTCCCCCAGCCCCAGCAGAAGGACTACGATGACATGTGCGGTCTGCCCGACCTGAACGAGAAAACGCTCCTGGAGAATCTTAGAAACCGCTTCAAGCAGGAAAAAATCTACACCTATGTCGGCAGCATCCTCATTGTTATTAATCCCTTCAAGTTCCTGCCTATTTATAACCCCAAGTACGTCAAGATGTACGATAACCATCAGCTGGGGAAGCTGGAGCCCCATATTTACGCTGTGGCAGATGTGGCTTACCATGCTATGCTCCAGAGGAAGAAGAACCAGTGCATTGTGATTTCAGGAGAGAGCGGCTCGGGAAAGACACAGAGCACCAACTTTCTGATTCATCACCTCACCGCCCTCAGCCAGAAGGGATTTGCCAGTGGAGTAGAACAGATTATTCTTGGAGCTGGCCCAGTGCTTGAGGTAAGATGGGAACGATAGTAGTGTGGAAATGTTTTGACGGTGAAAAAAACCCAGACCTGAGTAGCCGGAGTTTTATTGTGACACTTACTCTGAGGTTATCTGCTAAATACTGTTAATAAAGGGCCAACAGCGTTAACAATGAGAGAAGGTTGTGTTTCCACCTATAGAATCCTACCTGCTTCCAAAAAAATTAGGATAAAAATAGAAGTACAGCAGATGGCTTGCTGCCAAATTTGTTAATGCTTTGTTTTCACTCAAATGTTTCTTAATGCTGGTTTATCTCAGTGGTTTCTCAGTGGGAAGAGAGAATTATCAGTAGCCATTTTCTAGTATATTGAAAAGAGAATTCATTGCACACAAGGTATTGATAATGTTGTATTTATGGAGTTTCTGTTCATTCAGGTTCTATGAGCTGGGGAAGAAATCAAATGTAACTTTCATGGTCAAAATTGTGTTTTCTAACCATGAGTAGTTGATTTGGCCACTTAATGGTTACTTTATGAGGACTCTTCCTGTGTATTAGAGGTTAGATAAACTGTGCCATCAACTTTTCAGGTATGAAACTCTGAGGTGAGATACCAGGATTCATTAATTGTCTTGAATTTGTCCCATAGTCTTTGAGATGGTTTTCCTTGGAATTGCTAGCTTTGCTGGTTAGAATTTTGTTGGTTAAAGCCCATCTGCACATGGGTGATGTGTCTGCTTCAGCCATGCCATTGTCCGTGGAAGCTATGATATATGGAGGTGGTTTGGTGGCTGTGTCCTCTCCTCAGTTAATGAGAACACCTCAGACCAGGCTCCTGTACTCTGTAGTTAATGGTGGTTACTGCAGTGACCACATTGGTGACCACATTAATTTCAGAAAACTGGTATGAAGACTATTGCATTCCACCTCCAGGCCTGTTATTCCACCTGCAATCCTGTTATTTATTTGAAACACTTCCATGCTCTTTAGTTTTTGATTCATTGCTTAATGTTGGGCCAGGGTAATTTTCTAGTTCTCTTTAACAGCCTCAGAGCATCTCTGTCTAGGTTAAATTTCCAGAGGTGGAGAAGAGAGAGCTCTGTGAAAGGGAAGGTGGAAGGAAGTTTGGGGAATTGTTTTTTTCCTTCGATTCTACTTTTCTCGGAAATAGGTTGTCTACTTGCTTGGCTCTTGGATGGAGAGAGGCATCAAAAATATTTTGCTGGGAATCCTGCTCTGGTGGTGTCCAGTCACTTTTTCTGGGGACCATTCACAGAATGGTTTGGGGTGGAAGCGATCATCCCAATCCACCCCCTGCCATGGACAGCAACACCTTCCTCTCTCCCAGATTGCTCCAAGCCCCATCCAACCTGGCCTGAAACATTTCCAGGAGTGGGGCTTGAAGCTTCTCTGGGCAATCTGTGCCACGGCCTCCCACCATAAAGGGAAGAATTCCTTCCTAATTTTTAATATTCTTTTCCTTTAAAAAGCACCTTTGTGGTCCCTCCCCTTGATTCTCTTTCCACGAGATGAGGTTGCTCAAAGCCCTGGTGACTGTTGAGTTGTGTGTGTTGGGATGAGGTGGAGGGCAGGGATGCACTCCAGTCTTTTGTTTTCCTTTCACAAGATCTGCAGCTGTTTTAGAGGGAAAAAAATCCTGAATCATATCTGTTATATTTTTTTTTCTGTTGGAACAGAAGTTTGCATTCCTTCACTCTGGCAGCTGGATGGCTGCTGTTGTGCTTTGCCTGCTTCCAGACCTCTTGGAAAAAGTGGGGGTAATCCAGAATTTCTTCTGCTCTGCCAGCACCGGTCCCAAATAGTCACAAATCAGGCAGCCTGAAAGATAAAGTGGCTATATTCCTGCTTTTCCTTCTCTTCCTAGAATTTCTGAAGAAAGAGATCTTTAGAGCAGAGCTTTGGGTTGCATTACTCTGCAAACAGTTTGCAGATTTGACCTTTTGAGTTGTGGTTGAAATAAATGGAATAAACTCTGGAAGTTTAGATGCCAAACTTTTGGAGATTTTTTTTCTTCTTTACCTTTGTTCTTCTTCTCCAGACACCTTCTGCATTCCCTTTGCTTTCCCTTTGCAAATTTAAGATAAGATTGTGTTCACCTCGGGTTTGTCTTTCAGAGGCAGTGACACAGCTCTGTGTGCTGCAACTTCTGCTTTAGGCAATGGAGCAACCAACAGCTCACTTGGACCCGTTGATTTCTTTCTCAGCTTGAAAAGTGTCTCTGGCAGGACAAGTGCATGGAACCTCCTGTTCCTGGGAATGCCTGTGCTGTCATGCTCGCACGGCAGGAGCGGAAGTGGAGCAAAATTAAGATTTTTTTGGTTTTTTTCTGTAGCTTCTCTGTTTTCCTAATTTATATTTCTTGAGCAGCTTTGGACTATTGTTTGGGATTTTTTTTTTGTTGCACGAGATTTCTGGGTCTTGTCCAAATTGGACTGTTGGGGACAGCTGTCAAGACAAGCTGTTACTGCCCTCTAAACATGGTGACATCATTCACTAGTTGCATGTTGTTTAAGGTGTGTGCTGAGACCAGGCGTGTCCTTTTAAAGTGTATTTGATGTAAATCCTATGGATTTTCTTCTTCCTCTGCTGGGATTTAATAGGAAAATTTTGTTGTAGTGGTGCTCCTTGGAATGGTTGCAATATGCTCCTTTTGGTGATAAATGATATTTAAAAATATTTGCATTTTTATGTATTACTTGTCATAAATTATATTCCTTAAATACCATACTATTTTTTCCAGTATGAACATCCAGAACAAGATTCAAAATTTTTTAAAAACGTGATTTTCTTTATATTTTTCCTCAGTTTCCCCCATTTTCTTATAAAGCACATTTTGCCCTATAAGAACTTGCTTCTTCAGCAGATCTGAGCTTACGAAAATTTTGCACTCTGCTTCTCTTTAGTTTCAAGACTGAGCTTCTCAAAATCCATCGTTTTGTGTAGTTAGTTGAGGAAGAGTTCCACGTGCTACAATTCCATTCTGTTTCTGACTGATTCCATGCAATACTCGAGGTGAAAACTTCTGCTCAGCTTGATGCTCCATCAGGAACCCAGAGTGTCACACATCAACAAGATATTGAGGGGCTGGAGCACCAGGAGCAACTGAGGGAGCTGGGGAGGCTCAGCCTGGAGAAAAGGAGGCTCAGGAGGGACCTTCTGGCTCTGCACAAGTCCCTGACAGGAGGGGACAGCCAGGTGGAGGTCAGGCTCTGCTCCAGGGAACAAGGGAGAGAACAAGAGGAAAAGGACTCAAGATGTGCCAGGGGAGGTTTAGGTTGGAAAAATTTCTTCACACTGGAAAAGATGTGCCTGCCCCATTCCTGGAAGCATTCAGGGTTAGGTTGGAGAGGTTGCACAACCAGATGTAGTGGAAGATGTTCCTGCCCAGGGCAGAGCGTTGGATTAGATGAGTTTTGAAGTTCCCTTCCAATCCAAATCATGCCATGATTCAATTTGTGCTCTACCTGGAGAACTATGTTTTATCCCTGCAGGGATATTTTATCCCAGATCTAGGGAACTTGTTGATGTGAGCTTGGAATGGTGTTTTAGAATCCTGTTTTCTGTTTAATTAGATTAGCTAGAAACATCCAAATGAACTTTATGTTGGAATCCTAGCTTGTTTTTATGGACTGTAATCCTCAGAGGTGGAATGTGGATGGGTTCATCACCTTATAGTGGTACATGGTACAGTCTGTGAGCATCCTTCTCCATCCTCCTGAAACATTTTTCAGCTTTCTGTGGAGCTCTGAGTGCAAGTTAATTTATTAATTTATTACATCTTGCTAATTTCTTTTTCAATTGTGCATAAAACTGCAAAAGTTAAACTCCATTCCTCCCTGGCCTCTCAGTAGCCATTCCTCCCTGGTTTAGGTATGCCCAAAGGTTCTCAAACAGGTATTGGATGAACCTTGGTCTAAAGGAGTCTGCACCAGATTATTTTACCATCAGTCCCTTTCCCAGCATCTCATTTGTCACAGGAGTACAGCCATTGCAGCTACACACAGCAGATATGTTGTCTGAGCAGCTGTTTATTTGCCTTTTCAAACATCCCAGTGGGGATCTCTCAGTTGCTTAAAAAAAAATAGAAAAAAAAAAACCCAAGAGCTGTGTTCCTGGGAGAGGCCTCAGAGCACAGGAGGTGGCCAAGGGGAGCTGCTGCTGCCCTTCACAGCTGATATGCATCTGTAGCCTCTCTGCCAGAAAAAAAAAAAGGAATTGATTGCTTGAATTGCTTTGGAAAGAACCGCAGAGAGCTTTCTGTAGACTTGGCCTTGCTATTTGCATTCCCAATGGTGGTAGTTTGCACAGGAACCTTAGGAACAGCAGCTGGAGTTGCTTTTTGGTTTCTGGAGCAATATTGTGCAATGTGTGTGTTTTGCTTTTGTGGGTGAGGTCAGAGTTGCCACCTGAAGGCCTGGGAAGCTGCAAGCCTTTATTTTTTCTTACTTCTTTAATCCTGATTATGGGGTTGTTAGAGGGAAATGCAAGCAGCATCTAGAAGATGTTGAATGTTATTTTCCAGGACTTTGTGCTTATGCACAGGGTCCTCCTAGCTGAATTCAGTGTAGCAGCTGGAGCTGAGGCCCTGCAAGGTGTGAGCAGAACGACTCCACACTGCTGGAATTGCAGTGGATGCTGCTGAATGTTTCCAGAGCCAAACAAAGAGCCATTGAGTCGAGTTTAAAAAAATCAATTAACTGGAATGATCAGGCGTGTCCTGGACTTCCAGAAGGTTTGGGTAGCATTGGACAACATGGAGGGGCCGAAGCTCCCTGTGCACAAGGCCTGCACTGCTTCTCCTGTGTGTGCTCGACCTGCACTTATCCTGGGCAGATCCCACACCCTGAACTCCTGTCTGTGGAACCAGGATAAGGGAACACTTGATTCATAGAGGAATTAAGGTACCATTATTTGCCTGTGAGAAACGACATTTGCAAACTGACCTTACTCATATTTTCACCTGGAACAATGCATGGCATGTAAACTTTGACTATATTCCCTTTTTTTCCGTTTTCCAGCTTGAAACAGTAGTAATGGGAAATAAAATTTAAGTGTATTTACATTTTTATCCCCTACTTGGAACAGTATTAATGTGAGGTAACCAAATTCCATTAAAATGAATTTAACAAAAGAAATAGATTCTCTGATTCAGTTCATAATGTTCATTTTCTAATACACTGATTTTTAAGTAATTGGGTAACTGATTTTTAAGTAATTTTAAGTAAATAGTGTGACTCTAAAAGCTTTTTATCTATAAAAATGGATTTCTATG